ATCAAAGTCCTCGGTTTGTAGTCGATAGTCGATTGAATTAATATCTTGAAAATAACTTCTGTAAACAACTTTCCTGTAAACAACATCTGTAACTAACTCACTTAACCACTTGAAAGCTTGGCGTATATTCAATGCAACTTCTGCGAGTGGTACTTTATTGCAAAGGAACATTTTTCCCCTTAAGAAAAAATTTTGACTATAGCTCATCTGCAGCAGCACTGATTTTTCAATCTATGTATGCAATCTATTATTTGAACGCAACGCCAAATGCTCTATGGAAGCAATGCTTAAGCAATTTTTATAGGGAAACATGTCTTAAGAAAATTTTTAGGGACAATGTTTAAGAGAAGGGCTTGATTATTTTAAATGAAAGGCACGATTTTTTTTACCCTTGCGATAAGCAAGGGTATTGCAATCGGAAACTAGATTTTTTTGTTTCCGGTAAACAACCTGGTTAACCGGATCTTCATTTTAAAAAAAAATCTCCAGTTTTACCCAAGTTGCACTTTCAACAGCTCTAGTTCTGGGTCTAAATTTACTGTGTCTAGAGCAGGGGCGGATTTAGGGGGGGGGGGGCGACGCCCCCCCCCCCCCCCTCTCAGGGATTCGACCCCCTGCCGACCCAAAGGGTCCCCCCTTTGATACTTTTTCAGAAATCCATTTTTGGCCGACCGACCCTAAAATTTTTCTAAAGGCGCCTTTGGCGCCAATATATACTAACTTTGAGGGGAAGCGCGCGCCAAAAAAACGCGATTTTTTTGTCAAAATTTTTTTTCAAAAAGTGCCCAAAAACGGCTTTTTTGACTGTTTTTTCAAAAATTTGCCTGCGGCGCAGAAAGTTTAGCCAAAATAGGGGCAAAACAGTGCTTTGGGAGAGCTCGAAAAATCAATTTGGTCGACCTAAAAAAAGGTAAAAATTTTCGATTTTTTTTTTTTGAAAATCCGCTCCCCCCCCCTCGAGAAAATCCTATTTCCGCCCCTGGTCTAGAGTAAATGAGTTTCTGGGTCTACAGTTATTTTCAGAGTATAATTGGTTTTTTCTAGGCGTAATTGATTTTTTAAATTTTTGACGCCTTTTTGAATGGCCGGGTGTTTTAGTTGCATTGTTTTCAATTCATTTCTTATTCAATTCAATTTAGATGATCGTAATTAAGTGTATGGATTTTTAAAAAAAAAATTTATACACGCTAAAACTTCAATTTAAAAATAAAAAGTTTATGAAGCGTTTTTTTGAATTTTTCTAATAATTTTTTTAATGCTTGGTTTTTTATTACTTTAATTCTGTTCTGAAATTGTGCGCAGTTAGCTAAAAGCAAAATAGAGTCATAATTATTTCTTGAGCAATTTCGTTTTCGAAGCATTCAAGGTGATCGCCCAGCGTATTGTTTTAAGGTCTAAAATTTTTCAAAATAATTTTCCGGAAAGTTTTATATTGTAAATTTAGCTTGATTGTTTTGTCTGGAAATATACTGTTGGTGTGTTACACGAGATTTCAAAGTTTGGTTGTTTTTGGCTGAAATGTTTTTAAAAGTATGATTTTTTGGGTGTTCTTTCCCTAATGGGCGTATTTTTGAAAGTTTTTTTTTCAGCACTATAATGTTGAGCATTGACTTTGTATTTGACAAGATAACTGTTATTGGCTTTTAGATTTTCCTAGATTTTCTGAAACTTTTTTTATGTGGTGATTGTTTGAAAATTTTGTATTCATGTTTGTTTATTTTTTTAAATTTTTTTTCGATCATTTTGATTTTTGTTTTTAGCAAGCAGTCAAAAGTGATGTTTGATACCCTCAAATGCTTTTGATGGAAATGCAATTTGCTTGATTCCAAGATTTTCTGTAAAATTTCTGGGTAAATTTCGGATTTTTTGGATTTTGATTTTTAGACCGAAAAATCTTTTTCTTCTTATTTTTTTTTTCTAATAGAAAGAACTGAAAAGAGTTTGTGGAGCCTTAACCCTTTTTATGTCTCAAGTAATTGATTTCCATGAGAGGTGCAGAAATTTTTCTTGATTTTTCAGAAAACCGTGTGTCAGCCGTGTGTCAGAAAACCGCTGTATCAATAAATCGAAATTGGGTAGATCAGATAAAAAAGGTATTTTCAACATTTTGCTAACGGATCCAAGCTGGCAAGGTCACGTGTAATATTTCAAGTTTTTCTTGCTTTTACTGCTGGCTCAAGAAAACTATTACTTTTTGCGATTCTGTTGAAACTATTAAAGCAGCTTGAATACTGCCAAAGTTTCACAGAATGCATGACTTTTTTACAAAAGCCTAAGTTTTTCGACGAACGAAGTAATGATTTAGTAATCATTTGAAAATGTTGAAGTTTGGTTAAGTAACTCCATGCTTCGGTGAGCCTGCCTGTGCATAAATCAAAACAAATTGAACTTTTTTTAAAATATAACATTGAGACATCATTCAAGCTATCATGTCATTCTGAATTTTTTGCTTAACTGCATGCCTAAAAGTCTTAACTTTCCGCGAGCTTTTTCAAGCTATCAAAAAACTTGGATGACATAAAAGTTTGATAGAAATGTTAGGCCGTAGAATATCGTTTTTGATGAACTGTTAAATTTTTCTCGCGCCATTTTTTCTGCAATTTGTTTACAGTTTACCGAGCCTGCTAGTTTTTACTCATTTGAAGGCCATTTTGATTTCTCCTTGTAATAGTGTTGTTAATTGAAATCCAAGCTTGTTTGTTAATCTACGGCTTTTGTTTTTGGATCTTTCTCTTAGCCACAAACAAACAAAGAGTCGAGTCTAATATGTTAAACTTTCTGAATTATGATTTTACTTGATAGCGAAACTTTGAACAGGAAATCCGATTTTCTTTTTTTTTTACAAATGTTTCTTTTGATTGGTTGGTGACATTATTATGCTTGCGATTAGCAAGCGTTCTCACACTAGAATAAGCACTTTTTTCTAGTTAACAATTATTTAAAGAACATCACTGAATAGTTTTTGCAGCATACAATTCTGCAGCAACCAAACATGCCCAATTTCTTGTAATCGGGAATCAGACTTTTTTCCCGTTAACAACTTTTCTTACACATTGTAATTTTCTGGTAATTGAAATGGATGTTGCTTTATTATCGAACATTAGCAACTTCAAACCCTCATTGCATTTGATATGCAGGCAATGCAGTCGCTTTTGAAACCGAAAGTCAGGAGGTTGAGTCCCGGCCGGATGTTTTTTTCAGTGTCTCAAGTTGAAATTTTATTTTTTGGGAAATAATGATTAGTCTGGTTTTTTTTTAGTCTCAAGTGTCGCTGATTAATTTCGGTACTTTTTCAAATGTACTCTGCGTGACTGGTATATTGTCTGGTTTTTTTTCGCCTATAAATTTATTCGGCCTAAATCATATCAGCTCTTATGTTGTCGGTTTTAAATGGTTTCGGCTCTTGTATTGTCCGTTTATTTTGCATCGTTATAAGGATAAAAAGTGATAATTCATCTTTTTATTAAATCAGCTCGAATGGTAGTATAAAGGTTAAAGTTCAAATTTTTTTTAATCGCTCAAAAATTTTTTGAGAATAATTTCCTTTGACCTTTTTGTTTTCGGGTTAATTGGCGTTTAACTACAAGTTATCGGCTTCGTGAAAAAATTTTAAGCTTAAAAAATTCTAAAAGTTTGTTTTATGCTATTGGCTGAGTTTCTCGTCTGTTTTTCAGAGAATGAATATTTCGTATTTCAAAAAAATTGTTGAGTTTTTTTAGGACATATATTTTCTTTCGTATTTTTTGGTTCAATTGGCGTCTAACCACCTGTTGTGGCTTTGTAGTACTAAAAGCATGCTTATTGCTGGTGTTGGTTTGTTGTCTGTTTTTCTGAGATTGAATTTTTCGTATTTCCAAAATAATTTTTAACTTTTTATGACAATTTCCTTTGCCATTTTTGTTTTCGGATCGATTGGCGTCTAACCACATTTTGTTTGCTTAATAAACGCGTGGTGGTTGTGTTTCTCGTCTATTTTTCTGTGATTGATTTTTTGTTTTTCAAATTTTTTCCACTTAGTTATTTACATCTCACTGACCGTTTAGTAACTTGGAATGGTACGCTTTGGTTGTATCGCAAGTGATGCGAAGCTCGGCTTCGCCCTTTAAGTGTAAAAGATCGTGGTCATTCGTTTTGTCTGAGGATAGGGATATTCTTATGATGGTCCACATAGCCTCTGCTAATTATATCTTTTTCGAATTGTTTTTTTTTCATTTTTGAATCGAATGAACCGGAAGTTAAACTGTTCTAAAGTTTTCAGTTGTGGTTTGAAATGCAATTTTTTGCACTATTTTCTGGTTTCTGTTTTTATTGTTCCAACTTTCGTAACGAAAGTAACGGAATATTTGTGCTCGCGATGGGTTTTTTTTCTTCAGACAAATTTCGACTTTTTAACTAACCATTTTTGACGGAGTTTTTTTATCTCATTCGAAAGGTATTGTTGTCCTAAGCTTAAATTTGAAAAGTTATCTTAGCTGTGATCATTTTTCATAAAGTTATGGGGTTTAAAGATTGGCATTTTGGCCAATTAACGCGCGATGTATTTCGCACAAATAGCGCATAAGCGGAGATTTAATCTGTGTTAAAAATCGTTCCAAATTGGTTGAAGGAAGCTTGTTTGCCTTAATTGATTTGGTACTATGAGTAAAATTTATCATTTTGTACTTTATATGGCGTGTGGGGAGATGGTTTTCTCAAAAAAATCTCAATTTGAAAAAAAATATTTTTTTTTCTTTTTTTTTTTACATTTAATTGTTTTCATGTTATCACTGGTTCATAGGCCTTAGAAGCGCGTCGGAGCATTCAGGGCTTCGCCCTGATGCGAGCAGTCTTGTTAACATTTAAAATTCAAACTATGCTTGTAACAATCGCCACAAAAATCCATGCAGTTCTGACATGCACTCTAATTTTTGTAAATCTTTCATCTGGGTGACCTGTAAGAACTTTACACCACCTTTTATTCTCTTCGCAGAGAAACTTAAATAAGACATGCAACTCTTCAATGTTTTGAAATTTAAATTGAAAGATGGTAGTTATCACTCCAATTGGCACACATTAGTACAATGATTGAACCAAACTGATGAGTTCGTAACCAAACTGATGGAAATCGCGCATAACAAAAGGACCAACGCTCAAACAAATTCTATTGCCAATTAGAATTCCATATTTCGCAGAAGGGCCGACCAATTGGCAAAAGTTATAATAGCCATTCAGTATTTCCCAAGTCGTCCTTCAGCGAGTCACGTACAGATTTGGATTAGTTGGAAATTCTTTTATTTGGAGCTTTCTTTTAGGAGTTTCGACCCAAGGTTTCAGCATCTTCGGCTGCTCCAGCTGAATAGAGATGTAGAGCACAGTCTAGCTCGTTTGCTCGCTACTTGCATGGACTTAGAAGCTGCTCCCCCCGTGATGGACTGTGCATCTTTGTGTGAATTGTAGACTCGAGGTATTTCTCTCTGCGACCAACGCGATATTCCTCTTTTGCCGTCAATAAAAGTCTTGCTTGGATCGAAGTCGAATCCTGGCCACCTATTGTCAAATAGAATAAAGCGACGTTTAGTATAGAAAACATGCAATGCAGTTTGGAAATAAGAATCGAAGTTTTCTATTCCCTTTGTAATCTCAAGAACATATTTAGAGCATCGTAATCACTTATTGTTTTGTTATAGTATATGCACTTGGGAGGACTTCAAAAAGCAGTGTGTTGTCTTTTCAAACTTGGGCTAAAGTGATCAAACCTTTGATGCTGGTTTGTTGTTGCAGTCGAAAGGAGATCCAGCCAGAGTGGAATTTGGTCTTCATAGATGAAACTGGGGCCGAAAGAGCTCCCTTCTCCCAAGTCTGTTAGACCTAATTGGTAGTCTTCTGTGTTTGTATCCCACTCTTGCTCTAGATAACTGCGTCGCTCAGGCTTTTCTATCACCTATAATTACAAAAGGGACCATTGTGTTTCTGACGGCCTATGCCATTATTACTCTTCCGGTAAATTTAGTTTCAGCTCATAATCATTCATATTTTTTGCGTCTCCGGCACACTTAGCCTGGATGTAACGAATACGCCTGGGACGGCAAAGGTTCTTGAGTTCGAAGCTGATAGGACCTGTTTTTGTTTTCAAACGAGAAATTTTCCGTTTCAAAAAAAATTGTCGGCTTATTATTTGTCTCCGTATGATTTGTCGCCCCAGTTTGCACATCGTAAAACTGTTTTTTTATCGCACGCAAGTTATGTTGTAGTTGCTTTTAGAGTTCTGATTTTTTTCTGCTTTTTGTAATTTTACTAATTTTGACTTCGTGTATTTTCTTTTTTTTTTTGTTTTTTTTTCGCTTAAAAACTTTATTCCGCCCAAATGATTTTGGCTTATTTTTTATTGGCATAGTGAATTATTTTTGAGTAGTTTCAAGGAAAACATATTTTTATGCTCCACTCTGAATCTCACAAAAAGCTAAAAATGTTTTTTTTCGGATTTTTTCCTATTTGTTCCGCTTGATAGGTATTTGCCTATATAAAATCAGCTTGAGTGCATCAGATTGCGTCTTTCGACGAGCTTAATGTTTGTGTGTGTGTTGGGTTGTGCGGGTGAGGGAAACTTAATAACTTTTTATTAGTCATAATTTTCTCCGGCTTTTTAAAAATTTTCTTTTTTTTCCTGCGTAATAGGTTTCGGCCTATATTATATCGGCTTAGTGATCTCATTTTATTGCATTTCGCAAGCAAAGAAAGTCATGTGTGTTTGTGTTATGAGGGTGAGTGTGTCTTAATAGTTCATTTTGATAGATCTAGTTTTTTTAAAATTTTCGATTTTTTTGCGACTTAGTGGCGGCTTTTTTGTTGTTTATCGCAAGTGGTGCTAATTACCTCTATTTTCATTAATACAGCACTGATTTGTCCCCAGTTTTCCCTCCCGTAGTTAAAATACCAAATTACCATTTTTCTTAAAAACTGTTCACACCGCTGTCTGCATGTATGAAAAAAAGTGCATATCTGTTCCCTTGTTCACACTTTTCTTTCAAAGTCTTTGATCATAATTTGCCTCATATTCTGGATCAATAAATTTAAGCGGCAATTTTTCCGCCTATTTTGGCTATTTTGACGTCTTTTTTAAAGACTTTTATAGATAAATATGGGCCTTTATCTGAGAAATACACAGAAGCTTGCAGGCGTGGGGTGACAGATTCTGAAGAAAACACCAATGCCTGAAAGGCTCTAGGTAGTGCTCACGGATGTTAGTCGCATTTTAAATTAATCTAAGCTTTTTAAAGTTGGACAGAAACATCGTCTAGGGTGCAACTATATTCAAAATCATGTGGGGAAAATGCAAAAAGTCAATTTTATTGACGTTTCTGTCGACAAAAAAGTATATTCTTTTGCTTTTTCTGCCTAAATTTGCATGTTTCGGCCCAAATAGGCGGCCTATTCTGGCTTGATTTGCCTTAATTAATTTTCTAATGTTCACATCTATGTTTTTGTAATAATCTCGATGCCTCTCATTGGCTTTCTAATTGAAGTTTCCTGAGAAAGTTTGTAATTTGTCTATTCTTTTTGTTTTAAAAAATTTGTGACACTAGATAAATTAATTAATACTGCCATGTTTTAATATGATTTATTACAGCGAAAGTCATTTCAAATAGCAATTTGTCAAAATCAAATTGGGGAGCAGAATAGAGTCAAAGCACCTTGGTCATAGTGGTTTTGACTTCTTTAGAAGATAAACCCTAAAATTGCCAGAAAAGAAGCTATAGGTTCCAGTTTTTACTGTCAAAAATTTGTTTGATGGTGATGGAAAGTATCCACTGCTGCTGTGTTGAACAGTATGCACTGCTGAATTAATATTCGTTGAAAATTTTTCGGGTTCTAAAAATCTAGATAAATAAAAATGGATCTGATGTTGAAGCTACATTAATAAGGCTTATAACTTTGTTCATAGGACTCATTTCATATCTCTTGTCAACTTTTTTTGCATAATTTCGAGGGAAAATATATTCGCATGCGATTATGTGTTTCAGATAGGATGAATCGTAAATTTTTTAAAACATAATGAAGTTTTTTATGACAACAACTTTGTTTTGGCTCAAAGGCTTCCAATTAAATTTTTTTGACGCTTGGTAATTCATTTTTAATTCTTTTTTAGGCTGTTTATGAACTTCTTTCTATACACCCATGAAGTTTTTGTAGCTGTATGTTTTTCAACTTTTCGAGTTATTTTTGCAAGTAAGTTTTTCAACTTCATTTTTCAGAATTCTTTTGCATCGCAAGTCTCGCGAAGCTTTGCTTCGCCTCTGTGTTTAAAATTCAGTTGCTTACTTGGCATGTTTTCCCAGAAATAATTTCCAGTCATTAAGTGCGTGACAAGTAAAATACCATTTTCGAGGAAATCTGTTCTTTATATTATGGGAAATTATGATTTATCAAACTGAGTTATTGAATACCACCGGCTTCTTATTGTGATAAAAAAATTCTCAAATGTAAGAGATTTTTTTTTGCAACCTTTTTTTCTTTCAAATGAAGTGCGACCACACACCCAGTAACTCATGCGTAGTATGCTGTTGATTATATGTATAGAGCCTTGTCTAATTCATGCATCTTATGCAGTCGTTGGGCTGATTTATAAGCACAGTGATACTTCGTCGATATTTAATTTAAGAGAACCCAAAGCTATTTTCCAGTGCGATATGTTTACACTATCGAACTTCAGCGAGCGTAGTGTAATAGTACAACTATTCGTGAACCGAAAAAAGCTATTTATTTCAAACAAAAGTACGATAAAAAGCTCGATTTCATTAATTTTCAAACTTTTATTATCTCGCATTTATTATTATATGTTTATATGCGGGCTTGTTTATTTCGCCATAATTTTCAACGTATTGTTTTTGCATGGGTAGCGAAAGTTTTCTTTCACGCTTAAGCTGTATCGTGTATTGCACTGCTTAGTATATGTATTATATTTCGATTTTTCAAATTGACGAGTGCTAAGACAATTGTAAGGCACGATTTAATATTGTAGCTATGATGCCAGCATGAGAATGAAGGAGGGCTGCGCAGTGAAGAATTGTGTAAAGATGGGATGGATCCATCTATACATTATTTAACGGGAGTTTTTCGTTTCAGTGCGTACTTGCCGAGATTGAAATTAGCAACCCTTTTGTGCGGTGCTATAAGGGTTTTCCTAGGGGTTGCGAACCTTGCGTCCAGATATGACTGCTCAAGTTCTATTAGTTTTCGAGATATGACGTTTTATGGTTTTTCAAAGTTTTTCAAAAAACTTGAATAACAAACATCCTCACAAATTTTGAATATCCCGAACTTACAGTGGGTTGCTGTCATGATACTCTCAGAGGTAGCAGATTTTGTCTCCAAATTTGATTGCTCATGATCGTTAGTTTCTGAGATATGACGTTTTTCTGATTTTAGCAAAATTTTTCAAAAACTTTGTAATTTTTGAGTTTTTCAACCCTAAAGTGGGTTTCCCCAATTCAATTTCAGAATTTGCAGATCTTGTCTTGATTTTTGACTTCTCAAATTGTCTTAGTTTCCGAGGTTTGCTTTTATTATGGTTTTTCATAAATTCTAAAAGAATTTCATTATGTTTGCAATTCTCATTATTATGGTGAAGTGCCGTCGAGGTACTCTCAAGAGGTTTTTATATGGACTAAAAAAATATTACCACTCAGCGCCCTTAACTTTCATAGTTATCACGTTCTAATGATTTTTCAAAATTTTTCAAAGAAATTATATTTCAAAAAATTATAATTTTCAAAAATTGAATTTTTCGATCTTTCAAATTTTTAATGTTTAAAATTAAGAAGATGAGCCTAATACTTTGATACTAATTACTCTGGATTAACAGATTGATGGCAGTAAACGATATAAGTTGGCTAATGAAAACATAAACTAAGATAAACAAGAGATTCATTTACAACTTCGATGGTTTCGCAAATCAAATCGTTTCAAATAAGTTTTTGTAAAGATAGACAGTGCAGTTGTATGATGTTTGCTATATAAATGTTTTGTTCTTGAGTTTAAAAAATGAAGACCAGAAATCCTGTTGTTTAGGAGATTTGACCATTTTAGTTAAAAAACAGAACTTCTAAGTTGAATTTTTTCATCGTTGAATTTTTGAAATCAGAAGCGTTGTTGGATGCCCCGCTCTACTATTATGGTTGCTTTCCTTTTCTCTTGTTTTTTTTATATCTGTTATATAAGCAGTTTTCCTAATTATAACTCTGTTTGAAGCACCCGATGTGCGTTACATGCTAGTTTTTTTGAAATGCATAATCTATACATAATTGTGTCACTTTGTATTTGGTGCCACTTTTGCTGCATTGAGCTGGCAATTTTTTAGCATATGTAGCTGCTTCAATTTTACTAAGGGTAAATATTTTGCAAATTTTTAATTTTATTTCGACTCTTTCTCTGAAGTTTTTGTAGCTGTATGTTTTTCAACTTTTCGAGTTATTTTTGCAAGTAAGTTTTTCAACTTCATTTTTCAGAATTCTTTTGCATCGCAAGTCTCGCGAAGCTTTGCTTCGCCTCTGTGTTTAAAATTCAGTTGCTTACTTGGCATGTTTTCCCAGAAATAATTTTCAGTCATTAAGTGCGTGGCAAGTAAAATACCATTTTCGAGGAAATCTGTTATTTATATTATGGGAAATTATGATTTATCAAACTGAGTTATTGAATACCACCGGCTTCTTATTGTGATAAAAAAATTCTCAAATGTAAGAGATTTTTTTTTGCAACCTTTTTTTCTTTCAAATGAAGTGCGACCACACACCCAGTAACTCATGCGTAGTATGCTGTTGATTATATGTATAGAGCCTTGTCTAATTCATGCATCTTATGCAGTCGTTGGGCTGATTTATAAGCACAGTGATACTTCGTCGATATTTAATTTAAGAGAACCCAAAGCTATTTTCCAGTGCGATA